TTAGGGTTTTGCGCAAACACAGAAAACCCTGGGGCAACATCTCCCCCAAAAATACAATAACACCCTGCTTCCTTTTTAAACCCTAAACCCTAAACCCTAAACCCTAAACCCTCGGCCTCTTCTTAAGCCTACTTCTCTCTTCAGCCACTCCCACCATATGAAAGGGTCCTGCTGCTGGGGGCCCTCGGAGGCCCCCAGAGCCCTTGAGGGCCCCTGGGGGCCCCCAGGGACCCCTGGGGGCCCCCCTGGGGGCCCCCCAGGACCCCCCAGGGGGCCCCCAGGGGCCCCTGGGGGGCTCCCGGGGGCCCCCGGCCGTCCCTTGGTCCGAATCGTCTAGAGGTTAGGACAACACGTTGTGGCCGTGTAAACCCAGGTTCGATTCCTGGTTCGGACATTGCTAAACCCTACTTTAGGGTTTAGCCTTTTGAGTGTTTACACCTTCAAGTGGGCTTATTTACGCTGCAGAAGGGGGTTCAGTGAAAACCCTAATTAAAGCGTACTCAGATTCTATATGTTCACTCATGTGCTGAGTTCGGGTTGAAGCAAGCCCCAAATCAGGGTTTATTCAAAACCTACGATTTTTTCAACCGTTCGGGTGTTAGAGACACTGAATTAAGGTTTAGAAGTGAGACTGGGGCACCTTTTTCTCCCTCAAGTCTAGGGTTTAGGTTTTCAGGACTTAGGGTGCAGTGCTTAGGGTTTGGGTTCCAGGGTTTAAAGTTTACAGTAAAGCTTTAACCCTAAACGCTAAACCCTAAACCCTAAACCCTAAAGCTTAAACCCTAATTAGCTGTTCCGCGCGATGTAAGGCGTTTTGTTGCTGACTTCCGGTGCCTACATACGAGCGGCCGCTGCCGGTTTAGGGTTTAGGGTTTAGGACTAGGGTTTGGGGTTTAGGGTTTAGGATTAGGGTTTGGCGTTAAGGGTTTAGGGTTTAGGGTTTCGGCCTGGGCCCCAGTGGGGTGTACGTACACCAGAGCTAACACTAAACAACACTTTCAAGAAATGTTTATAGACATTTAAAACACTTTAATTCATTTAGGGGGCCCCTCAGGGGGGCCCTTAGGGGCCCCCTGGGGCCCCCAAGGGGCCGCTAGTGGCTGCAGCTAGCTGCGGCTAGCTGCAGCTAGCTGTGGCTAGATGTGGCTAGCTGTGGCTTGCTGCGGGGGCCGGCGTGGGCTGGCTGTGGCTAGCTGCAGCATGCTGGGGTTCTCCGTTAATTGCTGCTGCTGCTACTGCTGCTGCTGCTGCTGTGCTGCAGCTGGTGCAGCGGCACGAGCCAGCTCCACTTAGCAGCAGCTAGCCACAGCTAGCTGCAGCTGCACGCCATGCAGCTAGCCACAGCCCGCCACTTGCTGCCGCGCCCATGGTTAGCTATGGCTAGCTAGGCTAGCTCTTTCTATCTAGACCAGCTGCAGCTCGCTGCAGCTAGCTATGGCTAGCTAGGCTAGCTATGGCTAGCAAGCTTAGCTGTGGCTAGCTAGGCTAGCTAGGCTAGCTATGGCTAGCACCCACCAAGACTATATAAGCTAGCCATGGCTAGAGAAGGCTGGCTAGGCTAGGTGTAGCTAGCTAGGCTAGCTATGGCTGCCTATGGCTAGCCATAGCTAGCTGTGGGTAGCTGTAGCTAGTAATAGCTAGCTAAGGCTACCTAGGGCTAGCTACTGGTAGATATGGCTAGCTGTGGCTAGCGGTGGCTAGCTGTGGCTAGCTAGGCTGCGGCTAACCACGGTGGGTCTGGGGAGCTGTGGGCAATTCAAAGACCTACGCAACTCTGAGTTCTAAACCCTAAACCCTAAAGCCTAGACCCTAAACCCTGAACCCTAAACCCTAAACCCTAAACCCTAAACCGTAACCCCGATGATTACACTCTGGTGGGCCCCGCAGTGGTCTCGACTGTTGCTGCGTTTGCGGGAAGTTCTTTATGTTTTAAAAAAGGAAGAAACCCTAAACCCTCGAAAGAAACCCCAGGCCGGCAAACCCTAATCTAGAAAACCCTAAACCCTCAGGCCCCAGCTGCAAACCCTCGGTAGCCGCAGGTGACCCTGCGGGGCTGGGGAAGCAGCCAAATGTGCAGCAAGATCGTCTTGAAGAGATAAAAAGTGAATTAAATAAATCAAAATAATAAAAATAATAAAAAAAGGAATTTAAAGTCTAAAATAAATGCAGATTTCCGGGTTTCCCCGCAGGAGAGGCGCAGCAGCAACACGGGGTTGTTAGGGCTGGGGGGTGTACAGACAGCGGGGGTTGCTGCGGGCCCCCGGAGCCGCTGGGGGCTTCCCAGTTCTGGAAAAGAGGTTTAATTGTTTTATTTTTGTAAAGTAAAGAAAAGAGAAAGTGAAAAGAAGGTTGGAACTGCTTGGGTTGCTTAGTTGCCGAGGTGTACATACACCCCACCGCCACCACCGGGTGGGAGAGGCGCGCAGGCTTGCGCTTCCGTTTCTGCTGCTTCCGGCGGCGAAAAAGTGGAAATAAAACTTTCAATTTTCATTATTTTGCATTAAAGGAACTCGGGGCTTCTGCCTGGGGGCTGCAGGCCTTTGGATCCGCGTGTTTGCGTTTGCTGCTGCTGCTGCTGCTGCTGCTGCCGCGATGCCGCCCTTGTCGCCGGCCTCGCAGCCGCCGCCGCAGCAGCAGCAGCAGCAGCAAAGCTGCGTGTCTACGGTGCAGCAGCAGCAGCAGCACGCGGCCTTTTTGCTGTCGGATGCTGCGCAGCTGCAGCAAAAAGTGCTTTCGGAAGTTTCCAAATTCGAAGAACACATTTTGCTGCTGCGGGACTTCCTGCTGCACTTCGCTGACGAGTTTGCTGACGCGCAGCAGCAGCGCCACGGGGAGTTCAAGTACAGAAACTACCTCGTGGGAATTCAAAAGAAATGAAGAAATAAAAATAAAAATGAAAGAATTAATATTTCACTCCTCAACTCCCAACTCTCCAACTCTCTTTCATCTTCAAAAGAAATCCAAAAGTTTTTTAGTTTTTGATTTTTAAAAACTAAAAATAATTTGTCTTGAGTTTTTGGCCTTTTTTGCTCCTTTTAAAGCCCTCCACTGTCCCTTATTTATTCATTTATTTATTTTATTTATTTATTTATCTAATATTAATTATTTATTTAACTGTAATTATTTATTTATTTATTTATTTATTTAGAGTTTCCAAACTTATCTTTTTTTCCATTTTGCACTATCTCCACCAATTCGTGTTTTTTGGAATTCAAATTTTTTGCCTTTATTTCTCTTAAACAATTGGTTAATTAATTAAAATTACTTATTTATTTATTTAATTATTTATTTATTTATTATTTATTATTTATTTATTTATTTATTTATTTATTTATTTGTTTATTTTTCCTTCAGCAAGAAATCGCCGACCAGCGACGCGACGACCTGCCTATACACCTGGAGGATGTCGCGAAGGTAAATTCGAATTTTATTTTTTATTTCATTTTATTTTATTTTTATTTTTTTATTTTTATTTATTTCTTTTATTTATTTATTCATTTATTTGTTCGTTTGTTTATTTGTTTATTTTGTTTTTATTTTATTTAGTTTAATTGTTTAATTTTATTTTGTTTTAACCTATTTTATTTATTCCATTTTTTCCTGCTTTTATTTCTTTTTTTAATTTCATTTCTTTTTCGTTTTATTTCTTTTGATTTCTTTTTATTATTTTCATTTCTTTTAAATTTTCTTATTCTTTATTTCTTTTATTTTGTTTATTTCTTTTTTCATTTTTTTTATTTCATTAAATTTAATATTTTTTTTATTGTCGCTCCCATTGCCCCTTGCTGTCTCGCCCCTCGCAACCCAGACTAAGGGTTTAGGGTTTAGGGTTTAGGGTTTAGGGTTTAGGGTTTGTGCGTTTCAGTACTTCGGGTCTTCTTCATCTTCGGGGGAAAAAGGAAAAGGGTTTGGGGTTTACGAGGGTTTGCTGGTGAACACTTGTCGCTACATGGAGCTGCTGCATGCAGCAGCAGATTTGCTGCTGCAGGACACAGACCTTTTTGCTGCTGCTGCTGCAGCAGAAGAAGCAGCAGCAGCAGATCCTGCTGCTCTTGCTGCTGCTCTCGAGAGTCCAGCAGCAGCAGATCATTTGCTGCGCAGCGCTGCGTTGAGGGCCAAAAAGTTCGACCCCTGGAGACGCATCAGGTCAAACCCTAAACCCTAAACCCTAAACCCTAAACCCTAATTCGCGCCCAGACCCACTCAAAGCCGCTCTTTTGCTGCTTCTTTTTTGCCCTTTTCATTTCTTTTTTATTTCTTTTTTGTTTTTTATTTATCTTGTTTTTTATTTATTTCTTTTATTTCTTTTATTTCTTTTTATTTTTATTTTTTTTTATTTTTCTTCTCAGGGCTCGAGACATGGCCGCCAGAGGAGTGCCCGCCCACTTGCGCCACACCTTGTAAGGGTTTAGGGTTTAGAGTTTAGGGTTTAGAGTTTAGGGTTTAGGGTTTAGGGTTTAGGGTTTAGGGTTTAGGGAGTGAAGATAAAACAAATGAGACAAAGAAACTAGCAACAAAATACACCCCAGCAGCGGCAGCAGCAGCAGCAGCAGCAGGAGACGAACAAGCACTCACATGCTGTTTCCTCTGCTGCTGCTGCTGCTGCTGCTGCTGCTGCCTGTTGCGCTCCCCCTCTGCTGCTGCTGCTGCTGCGTGTTGTGCTCCCCCGCCGCCGCCTCTGCCGCCACCGCTGCCGCTGCTGCTGCTGCTGCTGCTGCTGCTGCTGCAGTCGTTTGCGTTTGCTGCCTCCTGCAGGGGAAAGCAGCAGACCTTTCAGAAAAGTAGATGCAGCAGCAATGGGCCACTTTTGCTTTTTTGCTGCTGAAGTTTCAAAAGTGGAATTTAAAAAACCCAAACTTCTTGTTGCTGCTTACGAGTGCGAAACTTGCCACGATAAGGCTTTTCAACCAGTAAGATTCAGTTTAATTAATTTAATTAATTTAATTTAATTTATTTAGTTGATTTAATTTAATTGGTTTAGTCAATTGATTTAATTTGATTTAGTTTTGTTTGTTTTGTTTGTTGGTTTTTGTTTTATTTGTTTGTTTGTTTTCATTTAATTGTCTTTTTTATTTTTATTTTATTTCTTTTTTTTGCTGCTGCTCATTAATGCGAAACTGCCACAATAAAGTCTTTCAAGCTGTGAGATTTAATTTAATTAATTTAATTTAATTTAATTTGATATAATTAATTTAATTTAATTTAATTAATTTAATTTAATATACTTTAATGGACTTGTTCATTTAATTTAGTTTGATTTAATTTAGTTTGTTTTATTTGTTTGTTTTCATTTAATTTCTTTTATTTGTTGCTGCTTATTAATGCGAAGCTTGCCATAAGGCTTTTCAACTTGTAATATTTGTTTAATTTAATTTGATTTTAATTTAATTAAATAATTTAATTAATTTAATTTAATTAATTTAACTGCGTTTAATTTAATTTAGTTTAATTGTTGTTTTATTTGATTTGTTTTATTTGTTTTATTTCTTTCTGCTTATGAATGCGAAACTTGCCGTGATGAAGCTTTTCAGTTTCTAAGAATTATTTAATTATTTTATTTAATCTTTTAATTTGAATTGTTTTGTTAAATTGTTTTATTTAATTAATTTGTTTCATTTGTTTTATTTTATTTGTTTTATTTAATTTTTTAATTTTATTTATTTCGTTTATTTTATTTCTTTTATTTCGTGTATTTTTAAATTCGCCAAAAGTCCAAATCAACTCAAACCAAAACAAAACAAGTTGTAATAGTAAAACAAATAGTAAAACAAATAATGAAACAACAATAAAACGGATAATAAAACAAATAATAAAACAAATAATAAAACAAATAATAAAACAAACCAAAACAAAACCACCAAAACATATACCAAAACGAAACAAAAAACAGCCCGAACCAAATAAATAAGCAAATAAACAAATATAACAAATAAGCAAATAAAACAGACAAATAAACAAATAAAACAAACAAACAAATAAACAAATAAATGAATAAACAAACAAATAAACAATAAATAAATAAATAATAAATCTTTTGTTTAGGTGGAGGGCCCCGTGTTTTTGCCTCTGACAAGTTGCATGCAATGCCGGCGGTCTTCGGGGCGGGAAAGTGCTCTTCATTTCCACTCCAAACTTTCTCTTTTTTTGCCAGCTCAAATTGTCAAAGTTCAGGAGCCTTCTGCCCAGGTTCGAGGCCCTTTTAAACCCTTTTTAAACCCTTTTTTAAACCCTTTTTAACCTCTTTTCAAAATGGTTTTGAAACCCTTTTCAGACCCTTTTTAAATTCTTTTAAAAGTGGTTTTGAAACTCTGTTTGAAGTGGTTTTGAAACCCTTTTTAAAGTGTTTTTAAACCCTTCTTAGCCTCTTTAAAGTGGTTTTGAAACCCTTTTTAAAGCGCTTTTAAAGCACTTTTTAAACCCTTTTAAACCCTCTTTGAATCTTTTTTACAGCATTTTTAAACTTTTCTTGAAACTCTATTTACAGTGTTTTTAAACCCTTTTAAAAACACCTTTTAAACCCTTTTTGACACCTTTTTTTTACCCTTTTTGAAACTCTTTTTGAGGTCTTTTTAAACACTTTTTAGACACCTTTTGACCACTTTTTAAGACACTTTTCAAAGTGTTTTAGAAGGGCTTTTAGAGCCCTTTTTAAAAGTATCATTTAACCCTTTTTGTCCCCCTTTTGAACCCTTTTTAAGCCCTTCTCAAACCCTTTTCAAGGCACCTTTCAAGCCCTCTCTAAAACCTTTTCAAGCCCTTTTTAAACCCTCTTTGAGCCCTTTTAAAACCCTTTTAAAGCCCTTTTTAGAACCTTTCTAAAACACTTTTCAAAGCACTTTTCAAAACACTTTTCAAAACAGTTTTCAAAACACTTTTTACTCCCTTTTTGAATCTTTTGCGTCAAATTGTTTCTTTCTTTTTGCCTCCAACTGCTGCTTTCTTTTTGGCTCCAAAAGTCCCTTTTTTGTCTCCAAAAATCCCTTTTTTTGTCTCGAAAAACATGTTTTTTAGCATCCAAATGTCCCTCTTTTGTCCCCAAAGGATCCCTTTTTAACCGAAATTGTCTCTTTCCTTTTGCCTCTTTCTCCACCTTCAGAAGTCCCCTTTCTAGTCTCCAAAAGTCCCCTTTCTGACCTCCAAAAGTCCCTTTTTTGTCTCCAAAAGTCCCTTTTAATCTCCGAAAATTCTTTTCAAAAGTCCCTTTTTGTCTCCTCAGGTCCCCGAGGCAGATGTCCCTCGAAGCCTCACTTGCGAGCTCGTGGGCCACACCTTCACCGACGTTCTCCAGCCAGGTCTTTGACTTTTTCGTCTCTTTTTTGTCTCTTTTTGTCTCTTTTTGTCTCTTTTTGTCTCTATAATTGTCTCTTTTGTTGTCCCCTTAGTTGTCTCTTTCGTTGTCTCCTTATTTGGCTCCTTTTGGCTCCATATTTGGCTCTCTTCCAACTTTGTTGTCCTTTCGTGTCCCTTTTTCTCTTTTTGTCTCTTTTTGTCCCTTTTTGTCTGTTTTTTGTCTCTTTTTGTCCCCTTTTGCCTCTTTAATTGTCTCCTTTATTGTCTTTGTAATTTTCCCTTCAAATGCTCCTTTATTTGGCTCTTTTGGGCCCCATGTTTCTTTTTTTCCAACTTTTTTGTCCTTTTATATCCCTCTTTGTCTTTTTTGTCTCTTTTCGTCGCTTTTTTTGTCCTTTTTTGTCTCCGTTTTGTCCCTTTTTTGTCCCTTTTTTGTCCTTTTTGTCTCCTTTTCCCCCTTTTGTTGTCTCTTTTATTATCCTTTTAATTTTCTCTTCAATTGTCTCTTTATTTGGCTCCTTTTGGTTCCACATTTATCTTTTTCTGCTCCTTTCGCCTCCACATTTGTCTCATTTTAGGCTTTTTCTGTTTCTTTTTCGTCCTTTTTTGTCGCTTTTTTGTCCCTTTTTTGTCCCATTTTGTCTCCATTTTGACTCCATTTTGACTCTTTATTTGTCTCTTTATTTGTCTCCCTTTTGTCTCTTTATTTGTCTCTTTATTTACTTCTAAATTTGTTTTATTTTGGTTCCACATTTGTCTCTTTTTGTCCCTTTTAAATCTCTCTAAATCTCCTCAATTCCTTTCGATTCATTGAAAGTCTTCTGAACCATTTAACTATTTAACCATTATTGATTAATTAATTAATTAAACAATAATTAATAAATAAATTAATTAATCAGTTAAGCATTAAAAGTTTGAATTTCTGTTTAGGAATGCAAGTGACCCTGGGGGGCGTTTTGCTGCCGGTGCAGCAGCACAGCAGCCAGCTGCTGCGTCTGGGTTTGGTGCAGCAGCAGCAGTTTGCTGTCAGCAGCATCCAGTTCCCGAAGTCCCCGTTTGCTGCTGCAGCAGCAGCAGCAGCAGACCCCGCAGCAGCAGCAGCAGCGGGAGACGCAGGGGGCGCAGGAGGCAGCCGCGAGGAGCGGGAGGTGCAGCAGCAGCTGCAGCAGCTGCTGCAGCAGCAGGGCCTGTACGAGGCCCTTGCTGCTGCTGTGTCTCCTTCAGTTTTCGGACTTTTGGATGTCAAAAAAGCTTTGCTGCTGCAGCAAATTGGCGGAGTCCCTCGCAGGAAGCAAGACGGAGGCAGCATCCGCGGAGACATTCATTTGCTGCTGCTCGGAGACCCCGGACTCGCCAAGTCGCAGCTGCTGAAGCAAGCAGCAGCAGCAGCACCAAGGGCCGTTTATGCTGCAGCAAGCAGCAGCAGCAGCAGCGGACTCACTGCTGCTGTCCTCAGAGACCCCAAGACAAAGGAGACACTTCTGGAGGGAGGGGCTCTCGTTCTTGCTGACAAGGGGCTTTGTTGCATCGACGAATTCGACAAAGTTTGTTTATTTAATTAATTAATTAGTTGATTGATTGATTATTTGGTCAATTAATTAATTGTTGCTTATTTTGGTTTTTGTTTCATTTGTTTATTTGCTTTATTTGTTTTATTGCTTCAAAAACAAAGGAGGCACTTCTCTTATATTTAATTAGCTAATTAACCAATTAATGAATTAATTAAATAATTAATCAATAAATTTGTTTAATTAATTTATTTGTTTATTTCATCAATTAATGTGTTTATTAATTCATTGTTTGTCTATTTAATTAGTTGTTTGTTTTGTTTATTCTGGTTTTTGTTTTATTTATTTTTCCGTTTTATTTATTTAATTGCTTTAAAGATGTACTTGCTGATAAGGGACTTTGTTGCATTGATGAGTTTGGTAAAATCTGTTTTATTTTGATTTATTATTTTTATTCTATTTCTTTGTTTATTTATTTCATTTAATTAGTTGTTTGTTTTGTTTTGCTTTTTGTTTCGTTTATTCATCTGTTAAATTACTTAAAAGACTTTGCTGCATTGATGAGTTTGGTAAAGTCTGTTTTATTTTGCTTACTTATTTATTCATTTGTTTATTTATTTATTCATTTGTTTTATTTATTTATTTGTTTATTTAATTAATTAGTTATTTATTCATTCGTTTTATTTAATTAGTTATTTATTTATCTAATTAATTATTTATTTAGTTGTTTTATGTATTAATTGTCTATTTATTTGTTTTATTCAATTAGTTATTTATTTGCTTTATTTAGTTTCTTTTTAATTTAATTGCTAGTTTTATTTTAAATATTTGATTCATTGTTTATTTAATTGTTTATTTTGTTTATTTACGTTATTTAATTAATTGTTTATTTAATTGTCAATTTATTTTATTTATTTTACTAATTTCATTGATTTTATTATTTTATTTATTTAATCTAATTGTTTAATTTAATTATTTAATTTAATTTTTTAATTCAATTATTTATTTTTTATTCAGATGGATGATCACGGCAGAAGTGAAATATATTCCAACTAAACCAATATGGCATTTATTTTCTTCATTTTTGAAATAATTAAATAATTAATTTTCTACTTTATTTAATTAATTAAATCACTTAACTATTTTTTTATTTATTTATTTAAATTATTTATTTATTTATTTATTTTTTCAGATGGATGATTATGACAGAAGTGCTACTTACGAGGCCATGTCTTAAACAAACGAATATATAATTTATTTTCTTCATTTTTGAAACAATTAACTAATTTAATATTTAATTTAACTAATTAACTTAATTAATTAATTTAGTAATTATTTATCTATTTATTTATTTATTTATTTATTTATTTATTCAGATGGATGATTATGATAGAAGTGCAATATATGAGGCCATGGAGCAGCAAAGTGTCTCCATTGCAAAAGCTGGCCACTGCAGCACGCTGCCAGCAAGAGCAGCAATTCTTGCTGCAGCAAACCCCAAAGATGGACAGTTAGCTGCTGCTGCTGCTGCTGCACTTGCTGCTGCTGCTGCGCTTGCTGCTGCTGCTGCGCTTGCTGCTGCTCGGGGTGTTGCTGCTGCTGGGGGTAGATTTGCTGCTGGGAGCAGCAATTCTTGCTGCAGCAAACCCCAAAGACGGACAGTCAGCTGCCGCTGCTGCTGGACTTGCTGCTGCTGCTGCTGTTCCACTTGCTGCTGCTGCTGCTGCTGCTTATGGGGGGGCAGGGGTGCTGCTGCTGTTGCTGGGGGTGCTGCACTTGTTGCTGTTGTTCTATCTGCGGCTGCTGCTGTTTTGCTGCTGCTGCTGCTGCTGCTGCTGATAAGGCTGCTGCTGCGATTGGGGTGTATGTACAGCTACGACGTGCGGAAGTCGATGATGGCGAATATAAATTTACCTGCTGCTCTTCTCTCCAGGTCCCAAACCCTAAACCCTAAACCGCAAACCCTAAACCCTAATTAATACGGCACACTCTTCATGGACTTGCCTCCAGTTCTCCGCCTGCTGGAAACCCTGATAAACCCTAAACCCTCTAAACCCTTCCAAACCCTAAACCCTTCAAACCCTAAACCCTCTAAACCCTAAACCCTCTAAACCCTAAACGCTCAGCACAAAAGCCCAGCTCCTCTTTTTGTCCTTTCCTGTCCCCTTTTTCTTTCTTTCTTTTTCTGTCTGCCTTTACTTTCTTTTCTTTTTAATTCATTTTATTCAATTTATTTATTTATTTATTTTTTTAATTTCAGATTTGATCTCCAGTTTCTTCTCCTCGATAAAGCTGATCCAGAAACTGACAGCAAAATGGCAAGACATATTTTAAATCTTTTTTCCGAAGTACCCCCCGGGGGCCCCCCGGGGGGCCCCCGCGGGGGCCCCCGGGGGGGCCCCCGGGGGGCCTCGCGGGGCCCCCGGGGCAGCCGCAGACAGCAGCAGCAGCAGCAGCAGCAGCAGCAGCCATTCCCTATTGACAGAAAGCTGCTGCGGGCTTTCATAGAAAAGGCCAAACAAATAGAGCCTGTTCTTAGCGAGTAAGAAAATGTTTTATTATTTATTTATTTATTTATTTATTTATTATTTTTTTATTTAGTCTTTTTTGATTCTTTTATTTCTTTGTTTGTCTCTTCTGGTTTTGTTTTTGGGTCTCCGTCTCGCGAAAAGGAATTGTCTCCATTGCTCATTGTCAAGGGTTTAGGGTTTAGGGTTTAGGGTTTAGGGTTTGGCGCTTTTTGCGTTTGCTGCCCGTGGGGTCCTTCTCCTTCGACGCGCAGCTTCCCTCTCCAGCTCCAAGGCCCAAGGGTTAGGCCCCAGACCCTAGGGTTTAGGGTTTAGGGTTTAGGGTTTAGGGTTTAGGGTTTAGGGTTTGTGCAGGTCTTTGGTGCCGCAAATCAGCGAGTGGTATGCTTCCACTCGTTTTGACGAGCAGCAGGAAGAAAGGCTTTTTGGCTCTTTGCCTTCTTACACAACAGCAAGGGCCCTTTTGGCTTTGCTGCGCCTTTCCCAGGTCTGCTGCTGCTGCTGCTGCTGCTGCTGCTGCTGCTGCTGCTGGTGCGGCTTCTGGGCTTCGCTGTTGTGTGCTTGGCTCCGCCTCTTTGCTGCGACGCCTGGAGCTTCCGGGGGCCTCTTCTGCTGCCATTAGGGCTTAGGGTTTAGGGTTTAAGGCTCCGCGCTGCTGCTGCTGCTGCTGCTGCTGCTGCTGCTGCCTACTGCTGCCCCCGGCGCCGCTGCTGCAGCCCACTGCCGCTGCTGCCGCTCCTTTTTGCTGCTGCCGCTCCCTCCCGGCTGCCGCCGCCGCCCCGCGCTGCCGCCGCTGCCCCCTGCTGCTGCTGCACGCTGCTGCTGCTGCTGCTGCTGCTGCTGCTGCTGCTGCAGGCGCTGGCGCGCCTGCGGCTGTCGCCGCTGGTGGAGGCCGGGGACTTCGAAGAGGCGCTGCGGCTGATGGAAGCTTCGAAAGCTTCTGTGCGAGCAGCAGAAAGCAGCAGCAGGCTGCGGAAGCGGGACCCCGTTTCCCAGGTCTTCGACATCTTGAGGCGAGCCCAGCTAGCTAGCTAGCTGGCTAGCTGGCTGGCCGGCTGGCTGGCTGCGGGGCCAGCGAGCTGGCTGGCTAGCTAGCTGCGCGGGCCGCTACTTAGTTGGCTAGCTGGCGAGCTAGCTGGGCAGCCAGTTCGCTGGCTAGCTCGCTAGCTAGCTGGGTTGCTAGTTAGTCAGCTAGCTAGCTGGGGAGGTAGCTGGCTAGCTAGCTAGCTGGGGAGGTAGCTGGCTAGCTAGCTAGCTGGCTAGTCATTAGCCAGCTAGCTAGCTTGTTTTGTAGCGAGCTAGCTAGTGAGCCAGTTACGTAACTAGCTAGCTAGTGAGCCAGTTGTGTAGCTAGCTAGCTAGCTAGCTAGCTAGTTAGCTGGGCATGCCGGCGGGTTATTATCTAGTGGCTTAGCCGGCCAGCTAGCCAGCTAGCCAGCTAGCTACCGGGCTAATTGGATAGCTAGCTAGTTAGCTAGCTAGCTAGCCAGCCAGCTAGCCAGCTGTTTGGTCGGGTCACTCCGCAGCTCGCGCCGTTGGTGTGAAGCCCCTGCAGCGAGCGCCCCAGTCACCCGCCGCTGCTGCTGCTGCGCTGTTGCTGCTGCTGCTGCGCTGCTGCTGCTGCTGCTGCTGCTGCTGCAGGCGGACGCGGAGCCGGCTGATAGAGGAGCAGGGCCACCGGTGGGACGGGTACGTGTCTGTGGCGCTGCTGGAGCAGCAAGCTGCTGCTGTGGGGCTGTCCCCTTTGCTGCTGCAGCAGGCGCTGCAGCAGTACGAAGAGTTGCTGCTGCTGGCCTTCAACGCAGACCGCAGCAAAGTGGCCTTTGTCGAGGAAGCCAGGGAACACAGCGACGAGGATATCCCTGTAGACAGCTAGCTAGCTGCAGCCAGCTATGGCTGCAGCTAGCTATAGCTGCCGCTAGCTATAGCTGCAGCTAGCTATAGCTGCAGCTAGCTATAGCTGCAGCTAGCTATAGCTGCAGCTAGCTATAGCTGCAGCTAGCTATAGCTGCAGCTAGCTATAGCTGCAGCTAGCTATAGCTGCAGCTAGCTATGGCTGCAGCTAGCTATGGCTGCAGCTAGCTATGGCTGCAGCTAGCTACAGCTGCAGCTAGCTATAGCTGCAGCTAGCTGCAGCAAACCACAGCTAATTCTAGCTTGCTGCAGCTAGCTAGAGCTGGCAGCAGCTCGTTCGCTACGGCTCGCCAGCTAGCTCTGGCTAGCTGCAGCTAGCCAGCTACGGCTAGCTAATTGCAGCTAAGTGTGGCTAGCTGCAGCTAGCTAGCTGCAGCTAGGTGTGGCTAGCTGCAGCTAGCTGCGGGAAAATGCTCGCTGGCTGGCCTGCGGCAGTCAGAAGCCGCGCTGCAACCCGCCCTGCTCGCCCACAGCTAGCTAGCTAGCTAGCTAGCTAGCTAGTCAGCCAGCTACTTAGCTAGCTAGCTAGCCAGCTAGCTGGCCAGATAGCTAGCCTTTTTGCTAGCTAAAATGCTGGCTAACTAGCTAGTTACTCAGCTAGCTATTTAACTAGCTGGCAAGCTAGCTTCATAGCTAGCTAGCTGGCTAGCTACTCAGCTAGCTACTTCGCTAGCTGGCTAGCTAGCCAGCTAGCTAGAAAGTTGGCAGCTGATTTTGGAGTTGCCGTTTGTTGCTGGGGTATCTGTACACCTTGTTTGACTTTGCTTTTCCCCTCAATGATGTGCTGCTGCTTCTGCTGCTGCTGCTGCCGCTGCTGTTATAGAGTAAATTAAATTCCCAAAATTAAATTCAATTATTTCTAGGCTCCGCCTCAGCAGCAACTAAAGAGGGTGCCGCTCTCCTCCGCTGTTGCTGCTGCAGCAGCTGCTGCTGCTACAGCACCTGCTGCTGCTGCAGCTTCTGCTGCTGCTACAGCATCTGCTGCTGCTGCAGCTGCAGCAGCGAGAAGCTACGGAGTTGTAAATACACCCTAAATGGAAAAATGCGCAAATTTGAGAAATGGTAAGGAGCTAAAACATAATAAATGCATGCACAGGCCGCAGCCACTGCTGCTGCTGCCCCTGTTGCTGCACCTGCTGCTGCTCCCGTTGCTGCTGCTGCTGCTTCTGCCACTCCTCTAGGGTGATGCGCTGCATGGAGGATGCATTTACATGCTGCAGCACTTCTTGCAAAGTGGCATTTACGGCTCACGGCTGCTGCTGCTGCTGCGGCTCCTGCTGCTGCTGCTGCGGCTCCTGCTGCTGCTGCTGCTGACGCTGCTGCCACTCTTCTGGAGTAAAGCACTGCATGGAAAAGGCATGGATTTGCTGCAGCACTTTTCGCAAAATGGCATTTACAGTTTTTTGTCTTTTGAGGTGGCTGAGGCCTTTGAAGTGTACAGACACCACAACGCAGTCAAAGGCCTCTCCACAGCCGCAGGATTTGTCCTGCAGCAGCAAATAAGAAGGAGCTAGCTGCTGCTGCAGCAGCAGCTCGATCTCCGCAGCACGCGAGGCCATTCCCCAGCTAGCTAGCTAGCTAGCTGGCTAGCTAGCTCGGCCACAAGCACGACACGCCGCAGCCACGAAGGAGCCGCTCCGGAGCTAGCTGGCTGGCTAGCTGGCTGGCTAGCTGGCTAGCTAGCTGGCTGGCTAGCTAGCTGACTGGCTAGCTAGCTGGCTAGCTAGCTAGCTAGAGTTCGATTCCACAGCGTGGTAGCCGGCTCCCCTCTGAGCCAGCTAGCTGCGTAGCTAGCTGCCCAGCTAGCTACTTCGCTCGTGGCCCAGCTAGCTAGCTAGCTAGCTGCTAGCTAGCTAGCCGCTTAAATAGCTTCCTGCTCACTGGCTAGCTGGCTAGCTAGCTGTCTAGCTAGCCACAGAAGGCAGGATGGGGTGGCGCAGAGACACAGTGGCGGGGCTCTGAAACCCTCAGGTCCCCACAAAACCCTAATCCCTATACCCTAAACCCTAAACCCTAGAGGGCGAGGTCCTTCTGGCTGACACAGAAGGAGCGAGGATCACCCTTTATACGGCTGCCGTTTCTGCTGCTGCTGCTGCTGCTGCTGCTGCTGCGTAGCCTGTTGCTAAGGACGTCGCGGGAGCTGCTGCTGCTGCTGCCCTTGCTGCAGCAGCTGCAGCAAAGTTTGGAAATATTAAAAAAGAGTTTTGGAAATATGAAAAAGAAGAAAAGGGGAGGCAGGTGGGCTGCGGTGTCTGTACACCCCAGCCCCGCGGCGGCTGCTGCTGCTGCCTGTGGGGCCGCCGGAAGCAAATGAAGAGTTTGTCTACAGCAAACGAATGAAATTTGATAAAACAATAATTATTTAAATAAAATAAGTATTTAATTCAATTTATTTAACTCCTTTGTCCATCAGAACCCCCAGCGCTGCTCCCCTGCTGCTGCAGCAGCTGCTGCATGCACCCGCAGCCACCCGCCTCTGACCGCCAGGGCTCTAGCTAGCCACAGCTAGCCACAGCTAGCCACAGCTAGCCACAGCTAGCCAAATCTATCAACAGCTAGCCACAGCTAGCCATGGCTAGGCACAGGTAGCCAGACATACCCACACCCAGCCACAGCTAGCCGCAGCTAACTACACCTAGGCACAGCTGGCCACAGCTAGCCACAAGGGGCTTTAGCTAGCCACAGCTAGCCACAAGGACCCACAGCTAGCCCCAGCTAGCCACAAGGGGCTACAGCTAGCCACAGCTAGCCATAGGCAACCCTAGCTGGCCATTAGTGGCTCTAGCTAGCCACAGCTGGCCATTAGTGGCTCTAGCTAGCCACAGCTAGCCATAGGGGGTTCTAGGTAATGCCACAGCTAGCCATAAGTGGCTCTAGCTAGCCACGGCTAGCCATGGGTGGTGGCTGTAGCTAGCCCACACAGCTAGCCATAGGGGGATCTAGCTAGTCACAGCAAGCTACAGGTTATCCACTGCCAGCTGTGGCTAGCTATAAGCCTCTCAGGCTAGCAACAGCTAGCCACAGCTAGCCACAGGCAGCTCCAGCTAGCCACAACTCACCGCCACACTCAGGCAACCCTAGCTAGCCACAGCTAGCCACAGCTAGCCACAGCTAGCCACAGCTAGCCACGGCTAGCCAAAGCTGTGGCTAGCTGTGGCTAGCCGTGGCTAGCTGTGGCTAGCTGTGGCTAGCTGTGGCTGACGGCCAGTTGCGGCTACTGGGTGCTACTTGTGGATAGCTGTGGCTAGCTGGAGCTAGCTTTAGCTATCTATAGCTAGCTATTGCTAACCTG